CCCTAGGTGCCACCCACTCCACTTCCGACACTAGATGTGTGGTTCCCAGTCAGTTCTGACACAGGCTAGCCCCCAGGTGAAGGGCTCTGTCCCACAAGACCCCTCCCCACCCCGCATCTCCGCCCCACCTCAGACTCCAGCCCCAAGTCCGGTTGTCCCCTGTGCTGCTTCTAAATCAGCGGTTCCCGTCACCTTTGATGATTTGCTAGAATGGCTCAGAGAGCTCAGGAAAAACGCTTACTTACTAGATTACCAGTTAATTATAGAGGACATAGCTCAAGAACAACCAGAGGGAAGAGATGCGTAGGGCAAGGCACGTGGGAGGGGGTGTGGGGCTTCGGTACCTTCTCTGCGGGCACCACTCCTAGCTCCTCCAGGTGCTGGCCAAACTGGACGCTCTCTAACCCTTTGGCTAGGGTTTTGATGGAAGCTTCATTATGTGAACGTGATCAGTTGATTTAACCATTGGCTGTTGGTGATAGACCTCAGTCTCCAGCTCTCTAGTCCTGTGGTCTGTGCTGCCAGCAACCAGACCCCCTTCCTTATGAGCTTTCCAGAAGTGACCTCATTAACCTGAACTTAAATGTGATTAAAAGGGGCTGGTTAGGAAGAGCAGAGATGCACCTTTTGCTTCTGTGATCCAATCCCTTAGGAAGAGCTGGGAGTTTCAGGAGTTCTGTGCCAAAAATGAGATGAAGACCCAGTGTATATTTCTTGTAGTAAGTAACTGTATCACGGTTTCACAGAGGAGGGGACCCTTCACTGAGGTCTTAAATGGTGAATAAGGGATCACAGAAAGGCGAGGTAGAAAATGTATGCTGGGCAGAAGGAACAGTGTGTGTGCAGGCACCGGGCTTTCCACACCCAGGGGAGAGGAAGCCCGGCTGGGACCCGGAGGGGAGTTGAGAACCTGGGAGTTGCAGGTCTCAGACAGCAGGTGAGGGCCAGGCCTTCATCCCCTGGGTCTGTGGGGCCCAGCCTAGTCCCAGCAGCTGTTGGATGAGTGAATGGGTGGGTGAAGCCGGAAAAGCAGGCAGGAGCCAGTTCAGGAAGGGCCAGAAATGAGAATGAATTTGGCCAATTTGCATTTTAGAAGGCAGGGACCTGGGGTGGGGGTGCGAGGATGGGTCAGAGAGACTAGGTAAGGGTTGTAGCTGAGAAAAGGGCCCACAACTGAGTTCCTGCTAGTAAAAGCTCAATTTCCCCAGCATTGCATTTCTTCCTCTGGATACCCAGACCCATGTCCTGCTCCAGGCCGGACGCAAGGTGGGCAGAGTGCGAGAAGGCTTTGAACGCCCAGCCAAGGGACTTGGACTTTATGTTAGTGGTAATGGAGAGCCATGGCAAGTTCTAGAGCCAAAGAGGACTTGACAAAATTGGGCATTGTGGGAGGCCATCACAGGACCAAAGGACCCTACCACCACTACTTTCTTAATGTGTGGTTCCCCAGAGTCGCCCCTGGTGGTCTAGAACGGAGTCAGGTCAACCTTAGGCCCATAGGCAGGACACTGATGTCCTGAAATCCGGAGCAGAGTCTGGGTGGGAAGTGGTGGAGAGTGAAGGCTCTGTTGCCTCCACCTGGAGTGAGGCCGCCTCCACCTGGAGTGAGGCCATCTCCAGCCCTCCCTGGCTGTGCAGCCTTAGACACACCCTTAACCTCTCTGAGCCTGGAACCCCTGGGGCATGAGGATCGGATAACATAAGCCCCTAAAGCAGTGAGCTCGAGCCTGGCACTGACCACTCTGAGTCTCAGTTTCCTCATTTCTAGAAGAGAGACAGTGACACATGCCTCTCGGTGCTGTTGTGTACGTTGGAACTGGCCTGTGTGCCCGGTACAAGCTATTGATCAAGTAGGGGGAGGTGGGCAAAAGGACCCGGCCTGACCAGCCAAGAAGGAGGTGGACACAGGGCACAGGAGCCCTGCAGATGTCCCTGGCTGGCCACTAAGGCCACCGAAGTCGGCTTGGGGTGGGGGAGGAGTCCCCGTGGGTGGGCAGGAACTGGGTGGGGGAGTCATGGGAGTCCGGGAAGACGCTGGTGGGGAGCAGAACTCGGTCCTTGTTCCAGGGCCACTGAGGGGTCCTCGTGGCCCCCGCCCGAAGACCGCCTAATGTGTGCCCGCCCCCGCTGCCAGGTAACCCCCAGCGGCCCAGCCCGGAGCCCGAGGAGCCGCGACGCGCAGGCCCGGCGGAGCGGGGCAGCGGCTCCGGGACGCCCAAGCTGATCCAGCGTGCGCTGCTGCGCGGCACCGCCCTGCTCGCCTCCCTGGGCCTGGGTCGGGACCTGCAGCCGCCGCCGGCAGGGGGACCAGGCCGCGAGCGCGGAGAGACCCCGCCGCCGATGCCCCGCGCGCTGCCCACCGCGTCCCCCATCGAGCCGCCCCCCTCCCAGCCCATCCGCTTCTCCCCCAAGACGCTCGACGTCCCCGCCACCCCGCTGACCCCGGAGGCCCCCTGCCCACCCGCCCCTGCGCCCCTGCTGCTGGAGCTGGGGGTCCCTGTGGGCCAGCTGTCCGCCAAGAGCCCCCGGCGGCACGACGAGGAGAGGCGTGGTGAGTGGCCCCGAAGCTGGCCTGCTTGCGGGGTTGGGGGGACCCGCAGGGCGGTGAGGCTGGGGGCTGCCTGGAGGGAACTGAGTTCTAAGTTCAGCCACCCAGTTGCAGGGATGGGGTGCGGCGGGCCGGGCGGGTCGTGAGATAATAGGAATGATCAACGGGAGGGGAGAGCTCCGCCTACTGGTTGCTGACTTGCTCCAGGTTCTGTGTCCGTCCCCGCCCCCGCAAGGCTCTCAGGTCATACTCAGGCTCTAGGTGAGAAAGCTTAGGGCACAGAGAGATCAAGGGACTTAAGGCTCCCAGAGGTAAATGGCAGAGCTGGGATCTGAGCCCAGGCCGGGCTGCCCCAGAGATCTTGTTCTTAACACAGCAGCGGTGGACGTCTTACTGATGGACAAACCCCCACCTGACCCCATGCCTCCTTTCCCCACTTCCTAGGAAGTACAGTTTCACCCCCGCCAGGGATATCCCGCTCGGCTCCTGGCACCCCAGGCACCCCACGCTCACCGCCCCTGGGCCTCATCAGCCGACCACGGCCCTCACCCCTTCGCAGCCGCATCGACCCTTGGAGCTTTGTGTCAGCGGGGCCCCGGCCCTCGCCTTTGTCCTCGCCCCAGCCTGCGCCCCGCCGGGCACCCTGGACCTTGTTCCCAGACTCGGACCCCTTCTGGGACTCTCCACCTACCAACCCCTTCCGGGGGGGCCCTCAGGACTGCAGGGCACAGACCAAAGACATAGGCGCCCAGGCCCCGTGGGCGCCCGAGGCAGGGCCTTGAGTGGGCCGGGCTGCCCCCGCCTGGGCTCCAGCGGCCCTAGAAGAGCCACAGTGTACACTGGAGCTGGGCAAGCCTCTGCAGCTGCCTCGGTTTCCCCCAGGGACCCCTCTGGGGGGTCAGGAACACTACACTGCACAGGAAGCCTTCACACTGGACGGGGGGCCCACACCCCCCACACCCCAAAACCTGTGGGTCCCCCGACTTACCTGCCCCATTGGGGCCCAACACTGTACCCAGCTGGTTGGGAGGACCAGAGCCTGTCTCAGGGAATTGCCCCCAGGGGTGGCACAGGAAGGAGCGGAAGGGCTGGGGAGAGGGGCCAGCCTCAGCTGTCACCAGCACTTTTGACAAAGCCCTGCTACTGTGGCCCCTGCCCCAGGGCTTGGTGCCTGGAACCCCCCCACCCCACCCTGGGGGTTATCTGGGGCCGGGACTCTCTGGGTGCCTTCCTGCTGCCCCGGCCAGGGTTGGGGCCTCGGCCTCGGGATCCAATGAAGCCAAATAAACTCCCCAAGCTGTCTCCCCAAGCCTAGCCTGCACCTTCCTGGAGGTAACCGGGAGCTCCAACCTGTCACTCAAACCTGGTGACTCCATGCCCCCAGCACAACGGGCAGTCGGCCTGGGCCTCGGCTGGGGTCCAGTCCACGGGCCTCAGGCGGTGCAGACCGTCCTCGGCCCCCAACTTCTGCAGGCCTCTCCTGCTCATCCTTGGCAGCTTGCCGAGCGGGGCGCTGGGGGGCACCTAGAGCCCTCCGGGCAGCATCCTGGGGGTTTGTCCTGGGTTTGTCTCTATGCCATGGTCTGGCGCCGGGAGGAGGGGCCCACCCTGGCACAGGGCCCCCCACACTCTTACTGCTGCAGGGCTCTGTGGGCGGCCACCCCCATGCCAAGCCCCAGGGCAGGGCCCCTCTGCGGTTCTGGGGAGCGGTAGCCTAGGCTCCCCCTCGCCACTGCCCAGCAGCCAGGCCCGCCAGGTCCCTTGTTCTGTGGGACAGGACCTCGGAGCATGGAGGGTTCTCAGGGAGGACTCAGAATGGACGTGGGAGAACATCTGTCCAGAGGCCACTGGGCATCCTCGGCTCCACGCACCACCCTGCCCCTACCTGACCCATCCCAAATCCTGCTCCTCCTCTCCCCTCCTCCTTCCAGGACACCTGCCATAACCCCCGTAGGTCTCCCTGGGCTGCTACTGTCCTCCAGGCCTTGTGTCTTCACCCTCATCCCCCCGCAGCCAGTCCCCTGTTCCTCTCCCACCCGAGCTCTCTCCCACCTTGCCTGGCTGACTTCTCCTGTTCCTCAGAGCCAACGTCACTCTTCACTTCTCCAGGAGCCTTCCCCAGGGCAAACCACCCCCCCAAAAAAAAACCTTCAGGACACACATGACCATGTGAAGTTAGTGCATTTCCTTGCTAACGGGTTTCTGGTGGCGACACCAGGAGGGAAGGGACTTGTGTCCATCCTCTTCTCTAGCGTCCTCCGGATCGAAACACTTGCCAAGTGGGTGAACGGAGTGTGTGTGGCTGAGCGAGCTCCTCGAATGGTCCTGCACCGTGGGGCCTGAGCCCGTCGCTCGCTCTCCAGGCCTCCCCCTGAGGCTCCACACCCGCATCTCCCCAGCTGCGGGGAATTGGGCAAATAACGTCTGGGCCCAGAACCAGGGAGGACGGACCGCGATCGCCTCCCAAGCTCGTTCACATCTCCCTGGCGTCCCAGTCCCAGGCGTCCCTCCGTCTCCAGCCACCCACGCCCCAGCGCCTCCTCCCGGCCCCACCCTGCCCAGCCCCTCCCAGGTGCCTGCGGTTGGCGCAGCAGCGGCTCCCACAGCACCTCCAACCCCGGGCGGCTCACCATGGGGGCTCTGAGGCCCTGGGCCCGATTCCCACTACTGGTCGTGGCCCACCTGCTGGCCCTGGGGATTGGGGCTGCGGTGTTTCAGGCCCTGGAGGGGCCTCCAGCGCTGCAGCTCCAGGCCAAGCTCAGGGCCGAGCTGGCCACTTTCCAGGCAGAGTATGGGGCCTGCTTGCCTCCTGGGGCCCTGGAGGAGCTGCTGGGCACCGCTCTGGCAGCCCAGGTCCACGGGGTCTCCAGCCACGGCAATGGCTCAGAGGCCGGGATCTGGGACCTGCCCTCGGCCCTGCTCTTCACTACCAGCATCCTCACCACCACGGGTAAGGGCGCCAGGCGGCCGGGCAGGAGGGGACTCCTGGGGGCCCTGGGGGTGTAGCCCTTCTCCCAGCCCCCAAAGGCCAGCCAGAGCCCAGGCCTGACTAGGCGTGATGTCACAGCTGGTGTTTCCCACACCAACACCCCAACTGGTACCTCCACTTCAGCTGCCAGGTGGGGTGTGTCCTCAGCCACACCCCCTGACACCCCCTAAGACCAGACCCCAGGGCCTGAGACAAAGGGAGGGGACAGGTATTGTGGGGTGAATTCTTGGGTGGAGGAAAATGGAGTGAACCCCGGATACAGATTAGAACCACCGACTCAGGAGAGAGTGTCCAGGGGAGGGAGTCCTGATGAGATGTTAGCCATGGCAAGAGGGCACGGAGATGAGGGAGGAAGGAATTCCTGGCAGAGGGAACAGCATGTGCAAAGGACCAGAGAAATAAAGGAATGGGACACACACACCCCACCCCCAGCCCTGCAGGTTTTTCATCCTGGAAAGTGTCTGAATGTTTTTTGAATGAAGGTCTATATTGCCTGGTTCTTGTGAACAATCAGGAAACCTCTTTGCACTGGGCCAGAATCCCTGTGAGGGGTTCCATTTTGTCTGGAAGAGGTCGACCCTTTGGGGCAGAGCATGTCCTCCCCAGGCCAGCACAGCCCCCACCACTCCCTCTTGTCTCCCCTCTGGCTCCTCTAGGCACTTGAGTTTATAACCTTGGCAGGACTAGCTAGTCCTGTTCTCCCAGCACTCCCTGCTCTCCCACCTCTCCCTAACTTTGCACATGCTTTTGCAGGTTAGAATGCCCTCTCGGGCACGCTGCCTCTTTTGCAGCGCCTGCCTGTCTCCCGGCACCACAAAGCAGGGCCCGGACAGACTCAGATGCTAGAGCAAGGCCTAGCACACGGGATGTCTCAGTACTCCTTCAGGAGGTGAAACATTCTTCCTAGTGGATTTGCAAGTATTGTATCGGTCAAGGGCAGAGCTGAGGAATCTGAGAACACCCAGCCTCCCCTGGGACAGGACAGCAGTTCTCAGAACTGTCCCAGCTACAAGAGGCCTAAGGTGACTGCCTCTTCTAATTCCTACATTTTCCAGAAAAGAGTGGCCAGAGAGCTTTGTTTATTTATATATCTATTTATTTATTAGAGAGCGGGGGGTGGGGGGGACGGTGCCCAGAAGGAGAGGGAGAGAATCTTAAGCAGGCTCCAGGCTCAGTGCAGAGCCCCACGGGGGTTCGATTTCAAGACCCTGAGATCATGACCTAGCCAAAATCAAGAGTCGGACACGTAACCAACTGAGAAGAGCGGCCAGAGAGGTTAAGAGACTTGCCTAAGACCTCCAGCAAAAGAGGAGCAAAGCCAGCCAGAGCCCAGGCCAGAACAGTTCCCATCATCTCCGCCACCAGAGGGCAGCCTTCTGCCAGAGGCCTGGTTGGGGGACACTAGCATCCCTCTCACAGGTTGATGGCCCACCGCCTTGCTCCTTTCCAGGCTATGGCTACATGGCCCCACTGTCAGCTGGCGGAAAAGCTTTCTGCATGGTCTACGCAGCCCTCGGGCTGCCAGCCTCCCTCGTGCTCCTGGCCACCCTGCGCCGCTGCCTGATGCCCCTGCTCTGTCGCCCGGGGGCCTGGGGAGCCAGCCGGTGGCAGCTGGCCCCGGCCAGGGCAGCGCTGCTGCAGGCAGCTGGATGGGGACTGCTGGTGGCTGTGATCTTCGTGCTGCTGCCGGCCCTGGTGCTGTGGGGCCTGCAGGGTGACTGCAGCCTGCTGGAGGCTGTCTACTTCTGCTTGGGCTCACTCAGCACCATCGGCCTGGGGGACCTGCTGCCGGGCCGTGGCCGTAGCCTACACCCTGTGCTCTACCACCTTGGCCAGCTGGCCCTTCTCGGTGAGTCCAGCTGCCACGGAGTGGGAGGGAAAAGAGATAAGGGACCAGGAGCTGGGACCAGGACTCCCATAAAGGGCTGGGGAGGCTAAGCGGCACAGGTGAAGGCCCTACCTAGGGTGTGGGGTGCGGGCTGTGGTTGGAAGAACCCTGATGGCCGCATTCAGAGGACTGTGAGTGGCACCAGGTGCCAGGCGTGGGGGGTCACCTACCTGGGAGGGGAGCAGGGAGCTGCCCTAGCCCACCTCTCCTCCCCAGGTTACTTGCTCCTCGGGCTCCTGGCCATGCTGCTCGTTGTGGAGACCTTCTCAGAGCTGCCACAGGCCCGTGCCCTGGTCAAGTTCTTTGGGTCCAGTGGCCCGATGACTGCTGAAGACCAAGGTGGCATCCTGGGCCAGGATGACCTGGCTCTGAGCACCCTGGCGCCCTCGGCTGCAGCCCTAGAACAGGCACCGACTTGCTGACAGGGGTCAGGTGATGGAGTTGAGCTCCTTCCAGGTGGACAAGCCTCCAGAGGAAGCCTCCAGAGAGGGGAGGGCAGGGGAGGGGGGTGACTGTAAGGCCCTCAGGCAATTGTGTATTTTTTAAAAAGCGGGGCCAATAACCCCGACTGTTTTCGTCTCTTCTTTCAATGGGACTCCTAAAGCGATGGATGACCCAAACCCCATCATCCTGAAACCGCACCATCCTTTCAGGGTGAAGGCCCAGCAGGGCCCTCGGCTGCCTCTGGGAACCTCCAAGCCCGCACGGGGCCCACGCGGGATCCCAGACGACCTTATCGGCCTCAGCCCCACCCCCTTCCGTCTATTGAAAGCCCCAGTCCTGAGAAAGGCTTGTCCAACTTTATTGCTCACGAAGATCAGGAAAGGGGGTTGGGCGGGGGCGCCCCGGCTCAGCGGCCATCCCTGCTCCCACGGCTGCCGGCCTGGGCCCTGCCATCGGGGAGGGGTGGCTTTGCGGGGCGCTCCTGGGACGCCCCCCACCTCCCGGCCCCGCGAACACACCCTCACGCACTCACAAGGACCAATAAATACGGTCCGGACGGCACGGCCGTCCAGCCGCTCCCGGCGGTCCGGCCCCAGGGGCCATCCTCCTCCTTCCAGCTCAGGGGCGGCGGCGGCCCCCACGAGCAGCGCGCTGCGGCCTTGCGGCCCCGGTGCTCCGGAGCGCCAGCCGGGGGCGGCGACCCGCGCGGCGGTGGCGGCGGCGGGAAAGCCTGCGGTGCGGGCGGGCGGGGCTCAGCTCAGCGAACAGCGCTCGCGCCGGCTCAGCTGCCGGCTCAGCTTGCGGCGCCGCTGCTCCAGGCCTCGTTCCAGGCGCTCGTCCTCCTCCAGGGCGCTGCGAGGGCGCGGCTTCAAGTCAGAGTCCGGGCCCTGCGCCTGCTCTGCGCACCGCCGCCCCCCCACTGCCCCGCGGGCCGGAGCAAGCACCTCCCACCCCTCGCCCCCCAGACCCCCACGCGGACCCTGCCCCACTCACATCCGCTCCCTGTGGTCCAGATCCCGGACCAGCTCGTCGCGCTGGTTCACCAGGGACACCAGCTCCTCCAGCAGAAGCTGCTCTCGGTGCTGCTGCGCAGCGGTTTTCAGCCAGTCTGAGGGCGGAGGAGGCTGAGGGTCAGGAGGCGCCGGCCCCTGCTCTGTCCTGGCTCTCGGCCCCTCCCGCCCCATCTCCCAGGCGCCATGGCCCACCTTCGATAGCTAGCATGGCCCGTAGCTCCCGGCTCAGCAGCTCGAACCTCCGCTCCAGGTCCTGCTCCTCGATGCTGTGTGTGGGGGGATGGCGGGGGGGAGGTGGGTCGCGGACAGGGGAAAGGGAGGGGGAGGGGTCCCACCGCTGTAACCGCTCCCTGCCCCCCCATCCCACCTCATTACCCGTTGGGGGGAGGGCTGGCCTGAGGGCAGCTCTGTATCCCTCTCCCTGCACCAAATCATCTTCCAACTAACTGTTCCCCGAGTTCTGGATGTTTATATGGTCTTCTCCCATCCCCACCACTCTGCTCTTTTCTTTTCTTTTCTTTTCTTTCTTTTTAAAGAAACAACCTTGCAGGATTATTTGGATGATCATTATTCATAAGCCCTAAGTATTAGAGCAAAGTTATTCTGAAAAATGATCCAAAATGCAAAGGAGGCAAAACTGCCTCCTAAATTGTACCAATTTACAAGGTGTACAACTTACACAGGACTTTTCCGGGGGAGGAAATAAGATGACTGAACAACTTTTCAAAAAGATCTTTGCAGAAAGAAGAAAGCGGTGAATAACAGACCAAAGCCACCAAGACTCCCTCTGTTCTGCGGGCCCTGGGTTGGCTGGGGATGGCGCCAGCACTGAGCGGGGCCTGCCTGCGCTGGGCGGGACCAGCCCGAGAAGGGTGGGGCCTTCCCGCGCTGGGCGGGGCCTGCCTGCACTCACAGCAGCTGCAGCTGGTCCTGCCTTCGGATGAGAGCGTTCTTCTTGTTGACCAACGTGAACCATTCCTGGATCAGCACCTCCTCCTGCAGCTTGTCGGCACCTAGAACCAGGCCAGGACAGTCACAAGGCCTGCCCCCAACCCAGAGGGCAGGAGTAGGGTGGCTGGGGTGTGGGGACGGTGCTTGCTTCCCTGTAGGCATCCCAGAAACCAGAGCCGTGCCTCCAGCAAGCTGCTTCCCTTGTCCAGCTGTAAATGGGACAGTGACCCCAGCCTTGCCTCCTCCCAACTCCTCCCCAGATCGGGAAGGGCCGCAGGGCTAGGAAGACCTGGTAGCGTGTGTTGGCAGGGGACTCGGAGGCCTACCCCACCTGATTCCATAAGGCTCCTCAGCTGGGTCTCCACCTCGGCTGCCCGCCCATCTATCTGTCTCTGCTCCTGCTCCAGGGCCTGCAGCTCTGCGCACACATACTGACTTGTGTCCTGGAACCTTTGCTGCAAAAAAGGGGGGCAAAGGCCGGAGCGGGCTCAGCCCAGGCTCTGCCTAGAGAGTGCCGCCCACCAGCTCCGCCAGCCCCAGCCCATCTTACCAGCCCAGCCTCCTCCGCTGGACTTGGGGGTGGCTCCTCCGAGGGGGCACTCCCACCTGCAGGCAGAGACCAAGCTAAGTCATCTCAACTGACACCAGCCCCCCAGGGGATCCCCAAATCACGATCCATCTGTGAACAGCCTAAACTGAGCTGGGTCATTCCTCCCGAAGAACTACTCACCAGGGGGCTGCTGTGGGGCTGTGGCTGTGGGTGGGCCAGGGGCTGAGCTGGGGTCAGGGCTCAGGCCTTCCTGTGGAGAAAGAGGCCAGTGAGGCCTTGTGGGGCTTTCCCAACAGTACCCCCCTGGGGCCAGCCATAGCCTCTTGCACAGGTAGGACGGGAGGGCCTCAGCTCAGGCCCTGCCCAGCCCGGTGCTTCTCCAGTCCCGAGTGCACAGAGCTCCACCCCAGCCCCTCTGGGGAAACCGCCTCTTCAGGCAAAGGCCATGGCCTTCACCCTCCCTGGCCCTGTGGTCCTGGGCCGGTCTACTCCCACTCTTGGAGCTGCACAGTCCTTGTTCCTGGGGCTGGGCTGATAAACCCTGGCTTCAGGGGGATTTTGTGAGAGCCAGGGATGAAAGGCTGAGAAGGACCTGACAGGGGCCTCTCCCTCCCTCTCTCGTCCCCTCCTCCATGGAGCTCCATCAGGCCACTTCCCACTCGCACTACCTAGCACTTGCGTCTCGATCATGGCCATGGGCCCACACAGTGACCCATGCTCCTGAGCTGACCTGATACAACTCATTGCAGGACCAAGGCCATCCTGAACCGGCACCTCCATGTCCTGGCCAAAAGGGGGCACCCTCCCACTTTATCAAATCTCATGCCTGCTGAGCTCTCCACAGGACCCTCAGAAAAGGCCAGGTTGGCTGCACCTACCAGTTTCAGCCTGGAAAGGCAGGGCTGGCCCTTTTTTTTTTTTTTTTTTTAAGATTTTTTATTTATTTATTTTGACAGAGACCACAAGTAGGCAGAGAGGCAAGCAGAGAGAGAGAGGGGGAAGCAGGCTCCCCACGGAGCAGAGAGCCCCATGCTGGGCTCGATCCCAGGACCCTGGGATCATGACCTAAGCCAAAGGCAGAGGCTTTAACCCATTGAGCCACCCAGGTGCCCCAGGGCTGGCCCTTAATAGGCCCCACCCCGGCCACCCACTGGGAGAGGCAGCTGGAGGGATGGGGGGCCTCAGGTCCACCGATAGATCAGGTCCCCTCTGATGGCTCCTGCTCCAGCCCCCCTTCTGGGTTCACAGGGTGGGAAGAAGGGCTTGAACCACCTGGCTGTCCAGCCTACCCTGCGCTTCTCGGAGAGGCACCCCTGGACACACCCCGCTCAGGGGCTGTCCTCTGTGGCCTGGGTCAGCAGCAGCCATTCCCCAAGCCCTGCCTGCCGACTCCACCCTCAAGCCACAACTGAGGGGTCTTCCTAAAGCAGTCACGTGCTGGTGTCAGTCTCCCCCCACCCCCGCCTCAGCCCTCAGCCTTGTGGCCAAGACCTGGTGGCAGCTCCGGCCTCTACTACTACCCCCTAACTGTGCGCGTGGACTTTCACTTCCCCAAATAGCTTCCTCTGCCCAGAATGGCCTCTCTCTGGGGCGCCCTCACATCAGCAAGCTTCATGACCCAGCTCAGCTCCGCCTCCTTGAGGCCCCTTCGGGTTCTCACAGGCTCTGTCCCCCTCCCTCACCTTCACACATCCTGAAGCCTCACTGATCCCCAGGCTGTACAGTGCTCCTGCGTGGCCTCCCAGGCTGTCACCGTCACAGTGCCCACGCCGTCATGGCTGCTGGCTACCCGTGTCTCCCTGCCCAGAGGTAGCCCCTGCAGACGGGGGTGGGAGGGGTGGCCAGGGGGTGCACGTGGGGACCACCGAGGAAGGGCTATTGACTAAACATTGATACCTTCGGCGCAGCGCATATACTGACTCCTTCAGTTCCCCCAACGACCCCGGGCGTCGGGTGATTACCATCCCCAGTTTACAGATGAGGAAACTGGAGGTCAGAGATGAGGCTCATACAGAGCCTGGCTTAGCACCCAGGGCTGTCCAAACCCGTGATTTGTTCCCAAGCTTGGCCACCAATTTGCTCTTTGCCTCTGGGCCAGTCACACCCACTGGGCTTCTGTTTGTGTCTTTTTTGTGTGGGAGGAAGTGCAGTCCTGTAATCTGGGGGTCGCAAAGCTCCAGAAAGGCTTCTGGGGGAGAACACAGTCCCCCCCACTTTTTCTTAAAGATTCTATTTATTTATTTAACAGACAGAGACAAGTAGGCAGAGAGAGAGGGGGAAGCAGGCTTCCTGCCGAGCAGAGAGCCGGATGTGGGGCTCCATCCCAGGACCCTGGGATCATGACCTGAGCCAAAGGCAGAGGCTTAACCCACTGAGCCACCCAGGCACCCCAACAGTTCCCCTTTTTTTGACAGCACCCTGAAGGGGTGTCGCAAGGCCACTCTGGGAGGAACTTTCACGCCCTTGCATGCTTCTCATCCTCAGGGAGAGAGCACAGAGAGGTTAAATGGCTTGCCCGGGGTCACACAGCCAGTCAATACTGCGGGGCTTTATAGAAAGTGCCATTTAAGAGTTCTGGGTTCACAGGTGAACCTCA